CACCGCTTCGAGCCAAGTACCTCCTTGTGGTGCCTTCAGCTCTACGACCAGAACTCCTGCAGGCCCTGCACAACGATCCGACAGCAGGGCACCTCGGTCCGACAGCAGGGCGCCCATTAAGGGGAAACCCTTTCTTTACGCACGCCATCACGGACCCTCCCGCCACCGCGGCGACAATCTTGGGTGGCCCGACACACGTCGAGAACTGAACAGCACGTGATACGAACCGTATGTGGACGTACACGGACAGTTGGTTTCGTTCTCAGTGTTGACAGTGGTTCTTCCTCTTTTTTACTTTCTTTCTTTTCTTTCTTGTTCTTTTTTTCGTCTTTTTTCTTCCCCCTTTTTTTGTTTTTTCTTTCCCTTTTTAGTTCCCTCTCACTCTCGCAAACATCTTTCAAGGCGAGAGGGACGCGGCAGCAACGAAGTTTGAAAGTTCATGTCAGTATAACTCATCCCCTGATGGGAAACTGTTGGGAAATAAATATATTTATCCTTGTTGACAACGCTCCCGTTGTGCCATATCCCATACCTATATATATATATATATATATATATATAATATATATATATATATATATATATATATATATATATATATATATATATATATATATATATAATAATATATAATAATGTCATCAGAACAGTGCATGAGTACTACGAACTGCACTCTGTAGGGCACTCCTTGAATTACAAGTCTGGCGGCACACGCGGCCACAGGCTGCACAGGCTGTGCAGTGGCAGTACGAAGACACGAACCCAAGTAAGGCGTTGTCACTTTTTTGATTGAACGGCAAACTTTTTCGGCGATGACGGAAATGGCGGCACCAGTATCAATAAGGGCAAGTAGTACAGGTACACCTTTAAGAACGCCTATAATTACATTCGGCGGCGAACGAAGATGGATTGTGCTTTGCGGCTAGGACGCAGTTCTTGCCTCGGTAACTGCGTCATTTAGTTTTCTGCGTCGATTGGAGAGGTGCGTCGGCGCATCGGGAAGGGCGAGCGACGACGTGGAAAAGGAGATCGGCGATCAGAAGCTGGTCGGTGAATTGGTCGAGGAGGGTGCAATTCGGGATCTGGAGTGTAGGGAAACGTCCCAGGCAACACCCGACAACCTGAGGTCGTCCTCAAATGGTACGATCGTCCTCGCAGATTTCTCTACGACCCTCGTACGCACTGAGGACGACACGACCCGGAAACGTCGTTTCGAATGCCTTCTGAGGATAACTATTTGTCCTGAAAAGGTTCTTATATGGACCTTTTAAGGATGACAAAAAAAATGTGCTAAGCGTATTTTTCTCGCACTGTTTTACTCGAAATAGGTGCATATTATTATTTAATTTGAACGTTCGTTTTACCTAGTTAATTATGGCATAATTTTGCCTTGTTTATTCTCTCTAATTATGTTAAAATTTTACAAATTATTCTTTTTTGTAAAACACTTGTAAATAATTCTATGAGGCATTGAAACAGTTAATTATGGCACACTGTTAATATAAAATTGTCCATCAATTCCTAGAAGAAGAAGCCTTATCACGTATCGCGTAATAACAAACTTGATCCATGATGGCAACCATTGACCTTGCGGTGCCGTTTTGGATAGTCAAGTAGCCAAGCCACTCCGAGTCAAGCAATTGATTGTCACGATGGGATCACACAGCCAAGGTTAGTCCACGAAGCGTATTTCCTTTGTTAGTTGTGTCTATATGTATATTTGTATATAGTTAAACAAAATTAGACATGTCTGAGACTGTAAGTCGTAAGCGTAGAAGGGAAGTCAGTCGCCGGGTTGATGGTTCTATGAGAGTGCTCGACGTTCTGAGCGACCCTCCTCTGAATGGATCTCCGCCAGTCAAACGCATGGCAGTGAACTGTACCGCTTCGGAGCAGCTTGGTCCCGACATGATTAACGAATAATCGACATCTTTGTCTGACGCATGGCCAGACGCGGGGGAAGTTGACTCGGTGCCCGTGTGGAATCCACAAAACGGAGCCTCTAACACTGATGACTGCATTGTGTACGACACACGTGGCAAAGAGGAGACTGTTTCGGACTTTCGCGAAATATTGCAAGCATGGGCGATTGAATCGCATTCGTCTCATGCTGCAGTGACGTCACTTCTAAACGTGCTGCGTCCGCATCAATGTTTTTCTTCACTTTTTTCATCAGCGCGAGCCCTCCTGCAGACACCAAGGAAAGTGGTGAACATTTCGGATATTGCGGGTGGCAAATACCATCATTTCGGCCTTGAGAAAGGACTACGGCAAACTCTGCGGGACTATAAACAGATTCCCAGTGAACTTAGGCTCAGTTTTATTATTGATGGACTACCGCTGACAAAAAGCTCGAAAGGGCAGTTTTGGACTATCCTAGGCCGTGTTATCAACCTGCAGGAAGAAGCTCCTTTTGTCATTGGCTGTTTTTACTGCGACAGCAAGCCGGAGGATGCAAATGAGTTTATGCGGAGCTTTGTTGACGAGTTGAAACATCTGATGACATCGGGCCTTGCAATAGGCACATTAGAGATCCCCATAACCATGCATGCCCTAATATGTGATGCGCCTGCCAAAGCCTTCGCTCTTTCAATCGTAGTTCACACAGGCTAATATAGCTGCACCAGATGTGAAGTGCGCGGGCAGTATCGCCAAGGCAGAGTGTGTTTTCCGGATTTAACTGCGAGCCGAAGAAGTAATGCTACTTTTCGTTCTCAGGCGCAACAACGACACCACACAGGACATAGCATATTGGAGGAACTGCCGATAGACATTGTGAAAGATGTGCCTCTTGACTACATGCACCTTGTCTGTTTGGGTTTGGTGCACAAGCTCCTGGTGTTGTGGTTCCGGGGCCCCAAGGAAATAAAATTTGGCAGCAAAGTGCGAAGTGAGGTATCCGAACGAAACTTGAAGATTGCCAAGTATGTACCATGCGACTTCAATAGAAGGCCACGAAGCTTGTCAGAGCTGGACCGATGGAAGCCGACCGAGTTTCGTTTTTTCTTGTTGTACGGAGGTCCAGTAGTGCTTTCTTCACTGATACCTCAGCACATGTATCAGAATTTTCTCGCACTGCATGTAGCAGTCACAGTGCTTGCAACACCCACTGCTAATGTGAGTGAAATTGAGTATGCTGGCAAGCGTCTTGAATCATTTGTTCCTTCATTCATAAGAGCATATGGGAAGGAGTATGTGTCCCATAATGTGCATGGCCTCTGTCATCTTGCATGTGACGTCAAATATCTTGGACCTCTGGATACATGGAGTGCATTTCCTTTTGAAAATTTCATGTCGAAATTGAAAAAAGCTGGTGAGAAAACCAGGAAACCCTCTTGAGCAGCTTTGTAACAGGCTCTCCGAGCAGGAACACTATGTAGAGGTCCAAGATAGTTTTGAAGGCAACCACTTCTTCAAGCCAGAGCATGATACTGGACCAGTCATTGCCACGTGCAGAGGCCCGCAGTACAAGGAAGTCGTACTGCCTAAAGGCATTGCCCTTGCTTCAGATCGCAGAAACAGCTGCTGCAAACTCAGTGACGGCTCTATTGTTATTGTAGAGAACTTTGCCCAATATACATCTGGTGAACCATGTATCATTGGGAGGAAGTACCTGAACCTGAGTGAGCTGTATTCAGTGCCATGTTCATCAGCAATGCTGGGATTTTTTGTTGCATCATAGCTATCTACTAGCCTACAGTCGTGGCCACTTCACAGTGTAACCCAGAAATGTATAGGAACTGTCTTGAAGAAACAGACTGTTGTTTTTCCTCTATTACATGCAGTAGTACACACTTAGATTACCAGGTCTTTTTTATATTTTTTGGCATTTGTAAATATCATCATCATCAGCCTGACTATGTTCATTGCAGGACAAACGCCTCTCCCATGTTCCGTCAGTTAACCCGGTCCTGTGCTTGCTGCTGCAAATTTATACCCGCAAACTTCTTCATCTCATCTGCCCACCTAACCTTGTGTCTCCCTCTAGCCCGCCCGCTTCCCTTCTCTGGGAATCCAGTTTGTTACCCTTAGTGACCAGCGGTTATCCTGTCTACGCACTACATGCCCGGCCCATGTCCATTTCCTCTTTTTTATTTCAACTATGATATCCTTAACTCCCGTTTGTCCCCTAATCCACTCTGCTCTCTTCTTGTCGCTTAAGGTTACACCTACCATTTTTCTTTCCATTGCTCGCTGCGTCGTCCTCAATTTAAGCTGAACCCTCTTTGTAAGTCTGCAGGTTTCTGCTCCGTAGCTAAGTACCAGGAAGATAGAGCTGTTATATACCTTCCTCTTGAGGGATAGTGGCAATCTACCTGCCATGATTTGAGAGTGCTTGCCGAATGTGTTCCACCCCATTCTTATTCTTCTAGTTACTTCAATCTCGTGGTTCGGGTCTGCGGTTATTACCTGCCCTAAGTAGACATAGTCTTTTACAACTTTAAGTGCACTATTACCCATCTCGAAGCGCTGCTCTTTTCCGAGGTTGTTGTAGATTACTTTTGTTTTCTGCAGATTAATTTTAAGACCTACCTCTCTGCTCTCCTTGTCTAACTCCATTATCATGAGTTGCAATTCGTCCCCTGGGTTACTCAGCAATGCAATGTCATCGGCGAAGCGCAGGTTACTAAGGTACTCTCCATTAACTCTTATCCCTAACTGCTCCCATTCTAGGCTTCTGAAAACCTCCTGTAAGCACGCGGTAGATAGCATTGGAAAGATTGTGTCCCCCTGCCTTACACCCTTCTTGATTGGTATTCTGTTGCTTTCTTTATGAAGCACTATGGTAGCAGTTGATCCCCTGTAGATTTCTTCTAGAATGTTTATATATATTTCATCTACGCCCTGATTCTGCAGTGTCTGCATGACGGCTGATATTTCTACTGAATCAAACGCTGTAAAAAGTTGTAAATATATGTGCTAATAAATTACTTCCTTTCCACTATAAGGTGGAGCATACATCATTGTTGAATTCCCTAATGAAGACGGAGCTACGGACATCATTCATAAGAACTGGCTGGTTGGCGACAGCCAGTGCATGTGGCCACCCGAAATGAGGCATTTATGCAGCTTGTTTAGAGCTCAAGCAAGTCCAGGTCCTCACTGGTACCGGGTGCCCTGTGTTGTGCTGCATAAATATGGTAACAGTGTCCTCTCTTTTGTGATTTTCTTTCACATAGCCTGTGTAGTGCAGTAAATTTGCTTTGCCTAAATTTATTAATTGGTGTCATCATTCTGTGGACCTCATGTGATTGGGTAAAATGTTGGTCATATTGAACACTTGTTCAGATTGGTTCGTCATTATTGTTTACAAATGTTTTAAGAGAATGGATCGTGCTGTAAAAGGGTTAGCCACACACACAGGAAGGATCATGGTACTTGAAGGGGTCGTGAAAAGAAAAGAAAGCTGCCCGTTTGTAGTCTTCATTGCTTCACTAAGCATTGGGCATGCCGATTCTTAAATATTTCAGTGCCATGTTTTGTCTATATTTAGTTAGGCTGGTTGGAAATTCTAGCCTCTTTGTGCTCATAAAATGGCAATGTGGCACCATTGGTAAGTGTTAAAACCATGCAACATCATCTAACAATTAAAATCCCAAGTATATTATTAACCTTTATTTGCTTTGAACTACAGATTAGAATAAAGATAGGAAGTGATACAGCAATGCGGCAATTTTTTAGCTTACAGTAGTGCTGAAAGCCGACTGCGTTCCAGAGATGTCTCAATGGCGCCCACCCCAGCTCTAGCAGTTTCTGACAAACGGTGTGCTGATCTGTGCTCCATCTGGATCCAGGGCAATATGAGGGATAGAACACAGAATGCTCGTTTTGCAATTTTGTATAGCAATAATATTATCTTTGCAAGTATTAGTGCATCATATACCTGGTTTTTCGTCATCTTTGAGAGTTGTAAACAAGAAGTAATTCTTCTGACACGACTTTAACTGGTGTTGCAGCGCAAGAAAAAAAACCTCTTTTTTACTCGACATATTCAAGAAACTATTCATGCCGCAATAAGCCACGCAAAAACTACATATATCCACCAACACAAAACACAGATGTACTCACTACTGCACGCAACATGCCTGCACAGTGGCCATCCAAATAGTTGCGGTAACTTTATAGCCTTACATACAGTGCCACTGCCTGAAATTTTATCAAAACACGCACAAGTGGTCAACATGTTTTCAGCTTAACGAAGCACCGCTACAGAGAGACGTTTCATATTCCTCCACTGTATTTTTAACCTACAACACTAAATTTTGGAAAGTCCGTCAGCACCGCACTACAATTAGCATGGTATGATCTTTCGAGCTTTGGCCAATTATGGCCCAGCAGGCCTCGCCGTGTCCCATTGTTTTGTCAGCAGAATTTTGATTGGGCCAATGGCTGACTAAGATGACGTGGGCTGTAGAGCTGAGGTTAATGCTTGATATGAAATCGATTTCTGTGCTTTTATAGCTATTGAAACAACCTGTATGGTCAAAAGAGCGAGAGTATATTATTGAACGGACAGCCAGAAAACGTTGCACGACCTCTTTAACTAATCTACTGCTTTGATTCACTGCCCTGATTCACGTAACAAGACACTGCCTTAATTCACTTAACAAAATGAGTCGGGCAGTTTTTTTGTGTGAAGTTTTGAGTTATGTAAACGAGAACACCTGCACGCATACACATATCTATATATTGCAGATTGTCCATGTTCTGCAAAAAGGCACATACCATTCAGTGAGCTTTTCTATAGCAGGTATCTATAGCTCATTTTGTGTCAAGCTTGACTAATTCCGAAGTTCACAGTAAGGAACCAATCATTCTTGCGACACTCAAGTGTCACTTCTCTGTCCTACGTAATCTTGGTGAAAAAAAAGGCTCTGCAAGTATACAAAGAAAACATTGTGCTCTGGGCTATACAACTTCGGCAGAAAGAAAGGTTGATAAATATAAAATAGAAGTAAATGTTACTCCTTCTTAGTGCTCTTCCTTTTTAGTAAATTGTTCTGTATATTTTGTCCATGTAAGTTACCTCTTTCAGACACCTACGCTGAAGCACGACTCAACCTGTCCAAGGCATCAGGGTCATCTAGCTTCAGTGCTCATGAGAAAAGTTACCGAAAGGGGAAACGCAAAAAAAATCTAGGACGATGGACTTCCCACAAGAGCAGCTTCCATCACCACCTGCTTCCATGCTTAAAAGTACTGTAAAATAATTCTGCATAATTATAACCAGTGCACCTTGACATGAATTTCGAAGTGCAAGACTAATATTAGATAAGAGCATCTAAGAATTCAGTATATAAAATATTTTTCTTATTTAAATATTAATATTTTTTTCATAATATCTTTCTTATTTCAATATAATACTGTTTACCATCTCCTTAGTAACTAGAAAACAGCTTACACAGATGTTTAAAAGAAATCTTCAAGGAGCACATCAAAATATTTAATAATTGAGTGGAACAAAGTGTAGGGATTGGGACTTTGCATACATTTATACAAGCTGAGCAAGTTTTTAGAAATTTTAGTTTCCTTGTTATAGCTGTTAGTGTAGCTTGCATCCAGTAAGACTTATCTACGATAAGCTGTCTATGTTGCCGAAGATGAGATTAGCATTGGAGAAATTTAGAGCCATTTTTCTTGAACCTTAACTTCTGTCTCCACAATGCTTCTCTAATTTTGGCCAGGAGCAAGATATATTAGCCCGGACGCAGGTCTACCAGAGACCCACTCTGTCCTTTGTTGCCAACAAACTCGGTGCACAGTGGTAAGTTTACCGCTACTATATATCCATGCATTCTGTTTGGAGACCACGAGCTTATCAGTAGTTAATGACACAAGTTTTGAGGGAATTAAATGCAGCTTTTCAAGGCCGAAAAGTTTGTAGCATAGCTGCGAACCCAAACCACTGAGCATATTGTGCAAGATGTGTGGTGCTATGACTGAGTTCCTGGACCATTAAGGCATGATCATGGTTTGGGAGCTGGTAAAATTATGTTAAGGAATAAATTAGCATCAGAGAAATTCAGATCTTATCCTTCTAGTGTAATGTTTGTCTCAACTGCACTTTTCCGTTTTTGACCAGAACCAAGATGTGTTAGTGCAGCACAAAGGCCGGCCACCGAGCCACGGTCTACTTGGCAGTCGGCAAGCTCGGCACAGAGTGGTAAGGCTTTTTTCAATATATATCTAAGCAGTCTTTTCTCGGGCCATAAATGTTTCTGTAATTAGTTAAAAAGGCGATCAAAAAGGCTTCCCTAGGCCAAAATGTTATCATAACTGTAACCCTGAATCGTGGCACGTACTGCTCATCAACTGTGGTACGTGTGAGGCGGTTATCCACTGTAAGCTGGTGGAATTTCATTGGGGATTTATTTAGCATCGTAGAAATGTTGATCCTAGCCTTTCTTTAAGCATAACTTCTGTCTCCACTGCACTTTTCCATTTTTGACCAGAAGCAAGATGTGTTAGTCCAGCACAAAGGCCTGCAACCAAGCCACCATCCGCTATGCAGTCAGCAAGCTCAGCACAGAGTGGTAAGAATTTCTACAATATATATCGAGGGAGTCTTTTGTTGGGCCATAAACGTTTCAGTAATTAGTGAAAGAAGCTTCGAGTGATGAAGCTTTTCTAGGCCAAATGTTTGTGTCATAGATGTTACCCGAAACTGTGTTGTATACTGTACATCAAGTGTGGTGCCCTAATATAAGGGTTTTGTGCTGCGCTGTAAATTGATGGAATGCGATATTGAAAAGAATTAAACTACCGTAGCATTAGAGAAATTCAGATCCTATCCTTTTTTTACTTTATAAGATGTGTCTGACCTCTGCTGCTCTGTTTTCGGCCAGGAACAAGATATATTAGTCCAATACAAAGGCCTACCAGTGACCCACTAGGTGTTTGGCCATCAGTGAGATCTGCACATAGTGGTAAGGCATGCCCTACGATATGTCTATGCAGTATGTTGTGTGACCATAAGATTTTCAGCGATTAATGGAAAAAGCAAGTGAATTGCATCAACTTCTCAAGACCAAGAAGTTTGTAGTATTAAGCCACTACATATACTACAGGATACGTGTGTTGCTACAAATGGATTTCCTAGACTTAGGTGCTGAAATTCGGATGTTGCTTGAGTTTTTATTTAAACTACATTTTTAAATTACTACTGTCCTAATTTGACTTTTTATGTCCTCTAAGTGTTGACTGACCGAGACTGTGGACAGACATATTCATGCATGTTGCATGTTTTAGAAGTGATAGCATCCGAGAATGTGTTAGCATGTGAATAGCATCCGAGAACCGGATGCTCCAGACAGTTTTAATCAGAAACGAGGAGCAAGATAGGCAGCTGGATGCAATTCAAAGACGCATCTGCCACGAAACACCTGAAGTAAGCAGCAACGATGTCGTGGAGAACCAATTTCTTGACGTCGAGGAATTTGAAAACTTTGATAGTGAACTTGCCGTCAATGCAACCATGAAGTCACAGTTGGTATGGTTCCTTTCTTTTGAATACGTATTAATTAGCTGAAGTAGAGTAGGCTGCATGTTACTAATAACATATTTTGCTTTTATAGCTATACCAGTTATCTGGCATTGGAGGTTCATCAGTTGGCACAGCCACAAGACGAATTCTAGAATTGCTGCTCAGCCATGAAGTGCCTGTGCAGTACAGCTGGGCAGGACAAAAGGGAAAGAAAAAATTCATGAACCTCAATACACCAGAGGTTATCTTTAGTAAGTCTGCCATAATTTTATCTGATGTAGTAAAGCCTCAGCTGCTTGATATGGTGCAGCTCAGTGTAGCACAATTTCTGTATGGCAAGTATTTGTGTAAACTCACCGTTGAACATACCTAGGAATACAGTACTATTCAGTAATCAGGTGAAACATTCAAGAAGAATGTTTTAAATCTAAAATATCATATCTGCTAATTTTTGTATTCCAAGAGTGGTGAAGCAGGCCTTCAAAGACGCTAAGAGAAGCGATGTCGAAAACATCATAAAAGTGTGGCTTCGTCATGCTGGTGAAAAGCTCCGCAAGAAGAGGTCACAGGTTCTCGGCAACTCTGCAAGCATACAGCCTGAGCGTAGGTGTTGATAGTGGCCTTCATGTTTATTTACACATTTGACCTGTGAGACTCATGGAATCGTTGTTCGACACGAGACAGCATCAGGTTCATTTTGCATGTGTTAATCGTGTCATTAAAATTGTAACTGCCTTCATTCTGACATTTTTTTTTTCGGAGGAGTGTCCGAGAACAGCATCTTTGCATTGCTTTCTTTTTCCAGATGTTGCCTCGGACTACTCAGACTCAGATGCCTGAAAACCTCTTCTGACCACCAATTGTAATTAAGGCTAGAATAAATTATTTTCTGTCAAAAAACTTTGTTTCTTTTATTGTCACAGCCAAGCACCTCTTTGTTGCTTGATGCAGTATACGTACACACCTCTAGAGGTATTTTTCTTTTGACGCATGTAAATACGTTGAAAAGAAATAAATCATAGGTAGTAATAAAACATAATATTAGAGCCTACAGTACTGAACTGGCTGCACAAAGGTCGTCTTAAAAAGATACTGAAAAAGTCCTGAAGTGTCATTCTGAGTATGCCCTGAGGTTGTTATGTGTACGGACAACAGGACTAGATTAGGGCCACTCTCGTACCTTAAGAGGACATTCTGAGGACATATTAACGTACTCATGGAGGCGTACTGAGGATGTACTGAGGTTGTTATTGCGTTGTCTGGGGTGTGGTCGTACTCATATGGACGTGGGTTTTCACGCGAGTGGAGTGGGCGGAGGCGGCACAGGCGACGTGTCCGAGTAGACTACACAAAAAGCCTTTCGATCGGTTGTCGGCAGTGCGCCATGGATTAAAGACTCGGTGGACTGGAGGTCGTGGCGGCTGGGCGGCATGAACAGGAACAGGCAGTGGAGGCGGCGCTTAAAACGTCTGTGGTCGTGCTACTGCTTCGGCGTACGTCAATGGTGCATTGACCGGTAGCACCAGCTGCGGAGGAAGGACGTCCGAATCTTGATCTTGTATAATAGCCTGTAGTGTAGGGCTAAGCGGCGCACTGCGCTCCGGTAGGCCGGAGACGAGCGAGAGTTGGTGGACAACATCTTTGCGTACGAAACGTTTGATCTGCGAGAGGAGGACGGGATCTTGCGCGGGAGTTAAGCCGGACATCGATTCCTGATGTGGGACAGCACGGCGGGTGACGAGGCGTTGCCGGCGAAGCTCATCATAGCTTTGGCAGAGTTTGCAGAGCTTGGCAACTTGGACGACAGTAGCCGGGCTTTTTGAAATGAGCATCTGGATTGCGTCCTCGTCGATACCCTTAAAAATATGCTTGATGTGGTCCATCTCTGTTATGTTCGATCGACGCGTTTGTACAAGTCAATGACGTCCTCTATGTAACTGGTGAAATTCTCCCCAGGCCGTTGAAATCTTGACTGAAGGCGCTGCTCCGCACGAAGTTTGCGAACAGCAGGACGACCGAAGACTTCGCTGAACTTTGTCTTGAATGCTGTCCAGGTTGGAACGTCGGATTCATGGTTTCAAAGCCACAAGTGGACAATTCTGTATTGTCGTGGCGCGCACACTGAGTGCGCCCTAGTGTGTACTCTGTTCAACAGATGTCGTCTGTAACGGCACACACGCGATTGGCTGCATGCAATCACGTGTGTGCCGTTACAGACGACATCTGTTGAACAGAGTACACACTAGGGCGCACTCAGTGCGCGCGCCACTCACAGGTGGCGCCACGACACATCATCCCCCCCCCCTCGTGGACAAAATGAGCATTATCACAGGGTAACACTAGAGAAACTCCCAGGATCTCCACTAAGGAATGTTCACGTCACACGAGCGGCGGGGAGAAGAACAGTTCGCGCACAGGCACAAGTGGCCTAATACAACAGATATGTCACACCTTGTGAAACGAAATACACTGCAAAAAAAACACAGAACTGAAAGTCTCCTGCGATGTCGTGGCTGGACGCGCTAGCCACGGCATTATAGGAAGAACTCTTTTGACCTTAAGTGACAAAATTTTCGAGCCAGTCAGGTCGTTTTGTCTGACGGCGTGGACACATAGAAGCGCCGACGCTGATCGCCACAACGTGAAGATGGCGCTGCTGGCAGACTGGAGTGGTATAAAGACTGGACACCCCTCGACTCAAGCCATAGGGCACTGCAGCACTGCCAGGATGCAACACCTCAACCCGTTCGTTCATCTACCGCAGGTGAGCAGGCGTTATGACAAATGTATTCGTTCAAATTACTTATGCCCAATAGTGCTGCCGTGCCCTAGGCAGATTTGTGCCCTATGGAGTGAACATGTGTACCTGTATCAAGGAATTACTGTTGCTCAGTGGCGACATTGAAACAAACGCGGGACCCGATATGAACAAGATCATGAAACAGCTTCAAGTAATTGCAGATGACATAAAAGAAATAAAAGAAGAACGTTTAAAATCTATTGAAGCAAAACTTGAACAAGTAACGTTACTGGAAAACAAGATCACGTCCTGTGTCTCCCAAGTAACCAATCTTCAAAAAACCATTCAATACTTGGAGTTAAAAATAGACAATTTAGAAAACCGGTCTAGAATGTCAAACTTACTTGTGTATGGCGTACCGGAGGAGGCAGAAGAACACCCCGAAACCCTCGAACAAACTATAAGTGAGCAGATACTTAAGAACATACTAAAGATGAAACCTGTTCCAATAGAAATAATCCACAGGATAGGAAAACAAAACACTCAAAAACCTATACCAGTGATGCTGAAACTCCTCGACTTCCGAGACAAAGTAACCATTCTTAGAAACTGCACGAAACTAAAGAGCACCACTTTCTCTGTTGGAGAGGACTTCTCAAATAGAGTAAGATACATCAGAAAAAAGCTTTGGCAAATTGCAAAAACCAAAAAATAAGCCGCAGACAAAGTATTTCTGGTCTATGACAAGTTAAAAGTGAATGAAGATCTCTACCGATGGGATGACGATACAAATGATATTGTGCTCGTAAGCGCTGGCCGTCACACCATTAACCATGAAAAAAACGACGAAGCGGAAGCATCAGGCGAGCCACAACGCCGCAACCAACGAAAGAAATAACATTTCTTACCATAAACAAGGGGGACACAATTTCCCCAATGCTATTTACCGCGTACTTACAGGAGGTTTTCAGAAGCCTAGAATGGGAACAGTTGGGGATAAGAGTCAATGGAGAATACCTTAGTAACCTGCGCTTCGCCGATGACATTGCATTGCTGAGTAACTCGGGGGACGAATTGCAACTTGCAACTCATGATTACGGAGTTAGACAAGGAGAGCAGAAAGGTGGGTCTTAAAATTAATCTGCAGAAAACGAAAGTAATGTACAACAACCTCGGCAAGGAGCAGCGCTTCGAGATAGGTAATAGTGCACTTGAAGTTGTAAAAGACTATGTCTACTTAAGGCAGGTAATAACCGCAGAGCCGAACCACGAGATTGAAGTAACTAGAAGAATAAGAATGAGGTGAAGCACATTCAGCAAGCACTCTCAAATTATGACAGGTAGATTGCCACTATCCCTCAAGAGGAAGGTATATAACAGCTGTATCTTGCCGGTACTTAGCTACGGAGCAGAAACCTGGAGACTTACAAAGAGGGTTCAGCTTAAATTGAGGACGATGCAGCGAGCAATGGAAAGAAAAATGGTAGGTGTAACCTTAAGAGAAGAAGAGAGCAGAGTGGATTAGGGAACAAACGGGGGTTAAGGATATCATAGCTGAAATCAAGAAGAAGAAATGGACATGGGCAGGGCATGTAGCGCGTAGACAGGATAACCGCTGGTCATTAAGGGTAACTGACTGGATTCTCAGAGAAGGGAAGCGGGTTAGGGGGAGACAGAAGGTTAGGTGGGCAGATGAGATTAAGAAGTTTGCGGGTATAAATTGGCAGCAGCAAGCACAGGACCGGGTAAACTGGCGGAACATGGGAGAGGCCTTTGTCCTGCAGTGGACGTAGTCAGGCTGATGATGATGATGATATGATGATGATGATGATGATGATGATGACCATAAACACCCGCAGCATGCTTCAAAAATTAGTACCGCTTGAATCCTTACTTCTTGGAATTGAAACTGACTTCGTAGCTTTTAACAGAAACGTGGCTGACAAATGAGATAAAGGATTTTGAGGTAACACCCCCCCAACTACGTCATCATTCGTAAAGATAGGCAGACACGCGGGGGAGGTGTGGCCATCCTACTTAAAAAGAGCTTTCCTTTGAAATACTTCCTGAGGTTATCGGAGTCGAGGCAATATTTTGCAAGCTTCTCTTCACTTCTCACCCAGTATTTGTTGGCTGCGTTTATCGCAGCCCATCTTCAGACAAGAATAGCTTGCAGGCATTGCACACGTATATGCATCGGTATGTTCTCGGAGCCAGGCCAATTTTGCTCGGCGACTTTAACTTACCCGATATCAACTGGCGAACAATGCAACACAACAGCGCATGCACGGATGCGCTCATTGACATCATGTTGACATTTAATCTGTCCCAAATCGTAAAACAGCCTACCCGTATCCAAGGGTGCTGTTCTAATATACTCGACTTGGTGTTCTTAAGCGATCATTTTCCTGCAGATAATGCACCGGTTGAAATTCTTGAGGGCATATCAGACCACGAAGTTATTCAGGGCTCCGTTTCTATAGTTGGCATCCCTATACCGTCCAACTCCTTTTCTGCCTATCTTGACTTTAACCATGCCGATGACACCAGTATACTTGATCATCTTTTCCATGAACTTGCTTCATTTGAACTACTTGCGAATGATTCAAACACAAATGTGGAAATACTATGGGCAAGCTTCAAATCAGTCGTAACACATTGCGTTCTTAACTATGTACCATCTAAAACAAAGAAAACACGAAAACATAATCCCTGGATAACGCGTGAAATTATACATTGCAAGCGTAAAGTAAAGCGCCTCAGAAAAACTTTGAAGGCAAAACCTACTCCACAAATTCGGAACAAGTTGAGTCAAGCTATTACTAAGATGAAATCCCAAATAAAAATGTCCAAAGCAAACTATTTTACAAGTACGCTACCCAACTTTTTGAAAACGTCTCCCCAGAAGTTCTGGAACTACCTTAATCCCAAAAACCGTATTAGGCCCGCGGCCCCGGAAGAAAGCAAAGATAAAGCAAACTCGCTAAATAACTATTTCCAATCTGTTTTCACGATTGATGATGGAAATGTGCCTGATGTTGACATTTGCAACACCCGACATGTTGAACCACTTGTTGTGACAGAGTCCGGAGTGCTTAATTTGTTGTTAAAATTAGATACTAAGAAAGGTGCCGCTCCCAATAACTTGCCAAATGAATTTCTTAGGCGATATGCTGAATGGGTAGCCAAATACTTGTGTATACTTTTCAATA